CCAGCACCCCCAGCGCCCCATGCACAAAAAACCCCCGGAGCCTGGACACCCTCCACCATCGACATGGCTGGCCCGCCTGATCCTTCTAGAAGAAAGACTGGGAACGGAGCTGCAGCCACATGCGGCCTAGCCCCGTGGGTAGAAATGCTACTGTACCCATCAACCAGAAGCCACCGAGCTGCTGTATCACCGTGCTGGGGTCACTTATTAAAGCTGCAGTCCCCCGCTGTCTCTCGACCGCATCCCCAGCTCTCTCCCACATTCTCATTGCGGGTCTCCTCATCCTTCTCTTTGCCCCCATCTCCTAATCGACCACCTCTGCACCCGCAATCATGCCAGGTGGAGGAGTGACTGCCATCACCGGCACCACCGATGTCAACCGCATCGAGGCGCCCGTGACCCTGAGGGCCTACCTCATCGTCGCCTTCGCCGCCTTTGGTGGTATCTTCTTTGGGTACGACACTGGCTGGATGGGAGGTGTCCTTGGAATGGACTACTTCATCAAGCAGTATACCGGACAAGAATACCCCGACATCAAGTTCGCTGGCATGGATGGTGGATACAACGCAAAATCCGACGAGGTCAAGGCCTACCGCAAGACCACCTTTGTTGTCTCCCAATCCCACCAATCTCTGACCACTTCCATTCTGTCCGCCGGTACTTTCTTCGGAGCCATCGTTGCTGGTGATTTGGCCGACTTCATTGGTCGCCGCATGACCATCATTGCTGGATGCGGTATCTTCATCGTCGGTGGCATTCTCGAGACGGCCTCCACTGGCCTCAATGTCATGGTTGCTGGTCGTCTCATTGCTGGACTCGGTGTTGGTTTCATCTCCGCCATTGTCATCCTGTAAGTTGGGACGCCACATCACTCCTTGAATCACGTGCTGATCGTCATGCAGGTACATGTCTGAGATCGCCCCCAAGAAGGTCCGTGGCGCTGTTGTCGCTGGTTACCAGTTCTGCATCACCATCGGCATCTTGCTCGCCACCTGCGTCACATATGCTACCCAGCATCGCCGCGACACTGGCTCGTACCGTATCCCCATTGCCGTCCAGTTCCTCTGGGCCCTTATCCTCGGCACCGGTCTCGCCCTTCTCCCAGAGTCTCCCCGTTACTTCGTCAAGAAGGGCAAGCTCGACCAGGCCGCCAAGTCGCTCGCCATTGTCCGCGGCCAGCCCGTCGACTCCGAGTACATCCAGGACGAGCTGGCTGAAATCATTGCCAACCACGAGTACGAGATGTCCATTTTGCCGCAAACCAGCTACCTCGGATCCTGGATGTCCTGCTTCGAGGGCAAACTTACCAGCCCGTCTTCCAACGCTCGCCGTACCCTCCTCGGTATCCTCATGCAGATGATGCAGCAGCTCACCGGTATCAACTTCATCTTCTACTTCGGTACCGTCTTCTTCCAGCAGCTCGGCACGATCGACAACCCCTTCTTGATCTCCATGGTTACCACCCTCGTCAACGTGCTCTCCACCCCGCTGTCTTTCTGGATGGTTGAGAAGATTGGACGTCGTCCTCTCCTCATCTTCGGTGCTGGTTTCATGATCACCGCTCAGTTCATCGTCGGTATCATCGGTGCTACTGCTGGCAAGGACACTGCCGACCACCCCGCCAATCCCGCCGCTGTCAAGGCCATGATTGCTTTCATCTGCTTGAACATTGCTTCTTTCGCTACTACCTGGGGACCGACTGCCTGGATTGTCATTGGCGAGATTTTCCCTCTCACCATCCGTTCCCGCGGTGTCGGTCTCTCGACCGCATCCAACTGGTTCTGGAACTGCATCATCGCCGTCATCACTCCCTACCTCGTCAGCGACCAGAAGCACTCGGCCAACCTGGGCTCCAACGTCTTCTTCATGTGGGGTGGACTTTGCTGCATCTCCTTCCTCTTCGCATACTTCTTTGTAAGTTTCCCACCTCCTTCATCACCAAACTTATGCTAACTGTCCTATCTAGGTTCCTGAGACCAAGGGCCTGTCCCTCGAGCAAGTCGACAAGATGTTGGAGGAGACAACTGCCCGTACCTCCCGCAAGTGGAAGCCGCACTCCACCTTCGCTGGTGAGATGCACCTTGCCGAGAAGAACATCCAGCTGCCCGGAACAAAGACCGAGCATGTCGCACCAAAGGATGCCGAGACTGTGGTCTAGAGCGATAGATTATGGTCTAAGTGTAACGGGTAATGGACGGATATGTGAAAAGGGGTATGAGAGAGTGTGTAATATTGCGAAACTGCATTGATTGTAGTCGGGTAGACACGTAGTTGTTGGATATACAATTGAGACGGCTACGCCGAATCTGCTACAACCTTTTGGTGCTCAATTTTACCCGGTCGTGTGTTGAATGCTTACACAGTATTTAGCTTCCAATACGATTCGCTAATGGCGTAGGCGATACGGAGTTTTTGCATTTATCTAGCTAGTACCTGTACGCTAAAGTGTCTAGTGACCTCGTTTTCGGTCACAGCTTGTTATGACAGCTGTTGAGAGAGAGTACGACTGGTCTATGCCGAGCACCACAGGTCCTCACAAACATGGACAATCGGCATGCTAAGTGAGCACAGACTGTCGGTCCAAGTACAAACCTCTTCACACTATTCATTCAAGCTCCCGAGGTGACGAGAACAACCATTGATCGGTCCTCGTCCTCGTGCACTGCGACACTCCCTCCGCACATCCGCCTGTCGTTTGTCGTCTCAACATCCTCGCCTCTTGTCGTCCCATCAAGCTTAGTTCACTCCCGCCTAGCACGCGACGCTTTCCGTCTCTCTCGCTTCCCCTTCCGCTCCCACGAAATCGGTCTGTGGGTTCTGGATTCCGTCGCCGGACGCAGCTCGCCTCGCCGGTCGCACATGTACTACGAGACACGAGAGCTTCAGCAATCCTTCAGCGAGAACGGACGGCTGGGATCGAGGTGGCACGAAAGGAGACACAAGAGGGACAGGCTGGAAACGGATGGTACAGACAAAGGATAAGCACGGAGAGGAGCTGCAGTGTGATCTGATTTGGGAGGCTAGGGCCTTGGTCTGTCTGAAGGTTGTGATGGAGTGTGATGGAATGTTGAAATAAGGGATGAGACTAGACCCTAACGTTAAGATAAGTGCTACGAATAACATACGATGTGTGAGACTGTAGTACAGATAGAGTTCTTTATGCGGATGTAGTCGGGATTAGATGCGTATAGGTGGAGATCACGTGATGATTTCGGGCCGAAATAACCTCTCGTTCTCTCATTCCAATTGGATTGTTCTCGGTCCGAACTATACCCAACCTTGGGACTACGGAAACCTTATGGTATAGTACTGGTGTGTGTGTTGAGGTATATGCATGGTGTTGTGCCTTGCATCGGCTGTTTCGCTTCACCACATGCCTCGTACATGTAAATATTGGCTTACTGGAACAGAGCGAGTACGAGAACCCGCATCGGATAGAATGGTCTTATTGCATGACATATCGCGAGGGGTCTGTCTGTTTACGTCAAACTAATCTCCTTCCTTCCTCTGCGTCAATTACACAGCAATTTTCCGTAATCGAAACTGAAGACAGATGCATCCCCACTCCCCACGCTCATGCCCCACGGGTCTCGATCCTTCGAAATGTACTTGTACATGGAGTGACCCTTTTGCACAAGGATCGGGGATCGGGGATCACGTCTCGGGGATTAAAGTCCGTTGGAGCATCTTGAAGGGGTGAAAGCAAGTCACTTTCCAGATAAGGCCGTTTATTGTCAGTCTATATTACACAGCCTCTCCCTAATTTGGCGCTGAATGGAAGCAAGAATGAATCATGTGTCGATCTCGGAGTTGGACATAAAGTCCGAGTTTTGTGTTACGTATTTCCTACATGTAGCATCAAGTTATTGCTCTAAAATATTCTAAATGTTGGCCTTGCAATCTCTAATGTCGTCATTTTGCTGGCGTTGAACATTCATTCTATATCGCCCTCTTTGAGTACACTAACAGTTCAAGATCATTTATGAATAGAAACAAACAGACTCTGTTGTTTGACTATAAAGCTCAGTTTAAGTTGGGAAATGTTCGTTGTTTGGTTAGCAGCGTTTTGTATTGGTCGGTATCACAAACACTAGCACGTGGAGGGTTTAACAGTAATATTTGGGTTCGATGAAACGTCAGGATATAAGCAAGGCACGAGGCCAAGCAGTGCTATCCCAGAGAGCACCCTCAACTAACCAACCAACTCTATATACTCTATTACTCAACAGTTCTTGCCCAAATCCGAGCCGTTCATCCAGAATGCAAAGCTAGCAACATCCACGCGGAGAAATGTCTATTCAAGATCAATACAAATGCGGATGATACTCTTACGCCACAGTTTTGTTAGTGGTCTGTTCACGCAGATACCCCTCAATCACAGGGTCTTCTTTCCCGTCGATTTTCCCATCAAGCACTTTCTGCTCAGGGCTCTTCTCTGAGATATTCTCTTCGGACTTTTCTTCCGTCTTTGCTCCACCGGTCAGGCCAGCTATGGCGCTGGTAGCTGAGCCGACCGTAGACGTCACAACCGCTGTAGCTTGTGCCGCAGCTTGCTTCGCCTGGTCGATGTAACCTGGCGCTGGCGGTTCTTGGAGCGGAATTGAGACGTCCTTGGGTGCTTGCCCTACGGTGCTGGGCTCCATGGTCACGGTCTTGTCGCCATGTCCATGATCGTTCACAGCAGCGTGAGGCGTACCCTCGGCGAGTTGGCCTGCAGCGTGAGTCTGCTGTTGCTGTTCGTAGCGTGTGTCTGATGTTCCTTGGCGGAGAGGCAGACCTGCCTCATTCCCCTCTTCGGCAGACGTCGCGGGAGGGGGTGTAGGGACAGGTGAAGGGGAGTCTGTGGGCGAGGTTGCGATGTCGACGTTTGAGTCGTCTGTATCCGGAGGCTGCGTCGCCGTCCCAACCGTCGTAAGGGACAATTCGATCTCGTCAATTGGTGTATTGGGTATAGGGGGTCCCTTCGCTTTTGCGCCCACTGGATTCGGGATGGTGAAGATGGTCCTCCGTCTCGGCTTCCCATTTTCACTGCCAACGGCCACTGCTTTCATACTGCCGTTCTCGCCCTCTTCCCACATGATAGGTCCAGTTGGCAATGTGTTCTTGCCATTCTGGATTTCGGGCGACTCCCACTTGATGGCGGCGTCGATCTCGGGCTCGAGGACAGGCATCATGCCCCATTCAAAATCTAAATTGCCGCCGTACTTTTTGGGGATGTTGTCCGGGTCGATATATTGCGAGAGGGTAGGCAGAACGTTTGCAGAGGAGAGAATGAAGATCTTGGAAACGGTGATGGGGTCAAACCAGCGCTTGACCCAGCCCCAGACAGTGGGGAAGAATGCAGGCGCGCCGATGATCTGGAGAGTTAGCTTCGTACATGTGGAGGAGAGAAACGAGAGGAGATCGCGCGTACGAAGATCCTGTCCAGCGTCTCTGGATAATGGGCAGTCGCCAGCACCGAGGCATCCTGCATGTGGTTCTTCAGGTTCCAAAACTGCTTTAGGCCCACGCCACTGATGTCGACGATGTTGTTGCTCTGCGAAATGGGCGTCTCGGGGTGCTTGCGGGTTATGGCAGAGCACAAGGGCATGACGAAGCGCGTCAGCGACTCATACAGGGCGAACAGGCGCAGGTTCTTGGTGGACACCTTGGGCGAGGTGATGGTGGCCTTGGCGAGGTTCTTCTCGTAGGCCGAGATGTTCTTGGTGTTGAGGGGCGCGACGCAGAAGAGGAAGAGCGGAATGCCGCGTCTGTCGCGTCGCCCGAGCCATTGGGGATACTGCGCATACAGCTGTCAGACCTGGTGCGAGGACGTCGCGACGGGGGGAAGGGGGGGGAAGGAAGGCGGGAGCGGGCGTACCAGGCGGCGCGTCTGCTCGAACTCGTCGATGTCAATCTTGTGGAAGAGGTGGTTGACATTGTGCTCTTTTCGCCAGTCCTCGGTGTCCTTGAACTGCTTGAAGGCTTCCTGGTGGTTGAAGCGGCGCGCACGGAGGAAGCGCCTGCGTGCAGTTAGTACCCCGCGTCAGTGCCCGCGTGTAGCGACATACAGAAGCGTCTCGTCGTCGTGGTTCGTCTCGGAGTAGTAGCCTTCGGTCTGGCAGAGCTGCTTGAACGCGTCGAGCTGTAGCTGCTGGTTGTCGCTCAGATGGCCGTAGTGCGCCGACGGATACTGGAACGATTCGATCTTGCTGAGGTCCG